GCGGCCGGTCGTGTCACGTGGCCAGACACGCACGTGGCTATAGAGACACCTTCTGCAGCGGGCTGTATTTGGGAGAGACTGTCCACAGCTTGTCACAGCAAAGGTATTCCACTCATGGCTGCACTGCCAACCCTGACCCCAGCACAGCCTGGGCTACGGGACAGACTGTGTCCCTTCACCCGCGTCTCCATGTCACCCATCGCTGAATGACGTTTTAGGGTTTAATTGCCCTCGAGAAAGTGAAAGACCTTCTTTTTTTTCCACATAAGACGTAACTCTGGGATGTGCTTCCCTATTGAATACAGACACTTGGGGGACACCATCAAGCCCAGATTTTCTTTCACGTGTACACCAAAGAGAAATGCTAACTGGGAACACCAGCCTTTGCTGCACTCGAGGGGAAAAAAAAAAGTTTGCTCCTTTTTGCTCCTTTCTCAATTTGTATACACACTCCTGCATATCAGCAAAAATAAATTCCATAAATCAAACATATTCACTGTGGGTTTTAGACATGGTGCTTTAGAGAGCTGGTTTAATACAAACACGAGCCAAAAATACAGCTGCTTACCATGAGAACATGGAAGGATTCTGAGCTTGTCTCCATCCTCATATTCGTCCAGACAAATGGCACATACGTCGTATTCGTCTCCTGCAGCATGTCATAGAGAAACAGTTTAACTTTAGAAGATTTGCAACAGACCTTCGCAAACACACGGGCACAGGCTCTCTTGGTTAGTTGCACGGGCTGAAGAAACCATGACCCTTCCCTCTGCATGCACGGGGCAGGTCCTCTGGAGCTCCATAGCTGACTGCTGTACTTCTCCCCTAATAAGGGCTACAGCTCGTTCACTTTCCCTTCAGGTTAACAGAAAGGTTTTAAACTGTGCAAAGTGCTGGGTCTGCAATAGTCTATCATTCTTATTAAAAGTAAGATAAAAAGATTTAAAATATAGGGTTCGCTTTACCATACAGGTATTAATAAGCTACTGAGAAAAAGAGCAACAGAGACAACTGGGTAAAAAAGCAGACTAATACTCAAGAATGACAGTCTAGTCACAGGAGCAAGTTTACATTATTCTGCAATTCAAACCTCACAAGGAAGATCTCCATACTACTGACAGCGCTGACATGATGCGTACCTTGTGGTACAATACGTGACCAAAACGTAAGCACTTCTTAGAAGCCAATTTATTCCTGTTCAATTTTTATCAAGGGCTTTACAACACGGTCCCTTCATCAATCCAAACAGTTCTTCCCAACTTCCTGGAAGATGCTGGTCCTCTAAAGTCTGCAGTTACACCAGCAGCTTGTGTCCCTGTTGTGGTTTAACCCCGGTGGGCAGCTCCGCGCCCCCCCCCCCCCAGCCGCTCGCTCACCCCCCGCCGTGGGGTGGGGAGAGAATCGCAAGGGCAGAAGTGGGAAAACTCGTGGCTTGAGATAAAGACAGTTCCCGAGGCAAAGCCAAAGCCAGGCACACCAGCAAAGCAAAAGCAGGAATCCATTCCCCACTTCCGCCCGCAGGCAGGGGTTCAGCCCTCTCTGGGAGAGCAGGGCTCCGTCAGGTGTAACGGTGACTTGGGAAGACAAACGCCATCGCTCCGAACGTCCCCCCATCCTTCTTTGTCCCCAGCTTTATAGGCGGAGCATGACATCATACAACACCTTGTGCCCCCGAGCCTGCTCGCTGGTGGGACGAGGTGAGGAGCAGGACAGCCCTTGGCTCTGTGCAAGCGCTGCTCAGCAATAACGCACACAGCCCTCTGTTACCAACACTGTTTTCAGCACAAACCCAAAACACGGCCCCAGACCAGCTACTGGGAAGAAATCTAACTATCCCAGCCAAAACCAGCACGGTCCGTTTCACAGATGAAGTTACTGCGAACAAAGCCGTAAAACACCACCATTTTCAATGTCAACTTTCTCCTCCTACCCTGTGTGTCCTCCCAATATCTATATTCAGTATTTGGATAGGCTTCTTGTCCTATCACTGGGCACCACTGGAAAGAGCCTGGCTCCATTTTTTGCACCCTCCCTGCAGGTACCTATATACATTGACGAGATCGCTCTGAGCCTTCTCTTCCCCAGGCTGAACAGGCCTGGCTCAGCCTTTCCTTGTAGGACAGATGCTCCAGTCCACTAGTCATCTTCATAGCCTCTCACTGGACACTCTCCCGTAGCCCCATGTCTCTCCTGTACTGGGAAGCCCAGAACTGGACACAGTACTCCAGATTCCCTCCAGGGAAGGGAAGGAAGTGAAAAGAAAACTTGACCGTTGGAGCAGCGATATTCCGAACTAGCCTTTTAGGACCATCAGAAGGTAATTAATCACGGTAATGGGCCAAACCTCCCCCTTTCCCCAAGCCTAGTTTTAGGTCAAGGCTTTAGATAGGCGACACGGGAAGTTGCTAAGTGAGTAGCATCTGGAAGAAGACAGAAATGGACACCTTAATACTAGAGGACAATGGAGGGAACTGAACCTAGATCCCCCAACTCCTGTCCAAGGCTGCCAATTACTAGGCTGTTATTAAAGGCGAGTAGGGCAAAGCACATCTTTTAAAACAAAGAGGCAGTGACATTTCCCTTTGTAAGGAGCTGTGCTTCATTGGATATCTTGTGGATACTGACCTGACCAAGCCCTGAGAGGGCCCCAAGCAGCAAAAGGGTCCCTGTCACTGCTCGGATCCCTTGCTTTGGCATGAGCTGGGCTGAGTATTGGCTCAGCTCTGTCAAGTCTGGAAGAGTTCTGCCCATACAGCGCACGAGGCCACTGTATCTGCAAAGGTTGGTGAACTCTTCTTTCATGCACCTCCTGCAACTTAAGACACATCCAGTGCTGCTACTCCCTCTTTCCAGATGGTGCGTCTCCTATTATGCCATTAGCACCTCACTCAGACAACGGAACCTTACTGTCTTAACACTGTCCAGCACTGCACCATCTCTTCACAAGCACCCACTTCCTAGGGCTGCCTACTCTCCTGACCATGAAGCGTTCTTTACATGTCCAAACTACAGCGCACCAGGGGGAAAAAAAAAAAAAAAAAAGAAAAAAAGAAAAGAAATCAGCCCAGCCCAGCCCACCTCCCCCCTGTTAAGTCCTCCTGGTCACACGCTAGAAGCACGTGTGCCAGCAGACTAAACTGCAAGCTTCCCCATCACTTGACCAACATATGTTTGGTTGAGGGACTGGACAGTTACGGAGTCAAATGATCCAAGGCGCATTTGTACATCCTATCACACGGCCAGTCAGCTGCGCAACATGTGGTGCCAGGGTGCCTGCAGCCCGGCCATGCCCTTAGTGATAAGGGAAGGCACCCATGACAGTGCCTCAGGAAAAGAGGATTCTACGGCGCACCTTGCCCAAAGGACAGACGCCCCCGACACAGCCTGCGATATCCTGGGGGTGGCCCCACAGCACTACGTCACTCTCTCCGCGTATTTCGGCTAAGTGTTTATAACTGCAGTCCTGGCCCACTAAGTCTGCTGGCTCCCAGCCTGCACTGTCTTACAGCGGCTTCCTAACGCCCCAGTGCTCTGCAGTGTGTAACGTCACCATCTTCAGGGCCAGCTGAGAACCTGGGGTTTACCGTGCAGCAGAGGGGCTCAGGAAGTAAGGAGACGTAGATCCCGCCAGGAGGAGCATGTGCAGAGAAGGCTCACACATGTGCCCAGCTGCGAACGGGCAGAGGCACACAGCAAGGTGGAGGCTCCTCCAGGAGGAATGAGGCCCCTGTGACCTCCAGGTAAGAGAGAGAAGGGTTGAGATGGTGTATCTTGTCCCAGTGCCCCTCAGGGCAGCTTTCCCCATCTCCTTCCTATCTCTTCCAGCCTAACCAGAGCCCCATCCATCCCACAGGTGTGACCTCATCAGTCATCCTCACAACTCAACTCCCTACTCCCATCTCCCACAGTAACACCTTAATCCTCTCCCAGCAAACTTCTACAAAGCCTTTTCTGGACTACCTGCTGCACTAAAACTTCACTGCTGCACATCGCTCTGCGGTTTGACACCGGAAGCATCAGATTTAGGTGCGTAAGACCGACACGTGCTAGGGCTAGAGTTGATGGCCACCACAAGAATCTCTTACATACTCAGTTCACCTTTCAACACGCACATATCGCACACAGTATCTGTGACACAACGCTGTTTAGCACAAACAGCAATTCCCATATTACTTTCCAAAGCACCATCCAGATTACGTACATGAGACTGAGATCAACAGTCAATCGAGGGGACAACGTTCACGCTCCGAGCTTGTTCAAGAGTCGGTGCAATACATACGTTGCCAAGCGTTGTTCTAGGGAAAAGGTGGAAATAACGGGGCAGATTTTGATAGTGTGCAGCTACAGCAGGCCCACATTTGAGTCACGAGCTTACCCTACGTTGAAGCTTGCAGACGAAGGAAGAGGGCAGACCTTGCATTACTCAGAAGAGATGTCCTTTCAACACAAAAGCTCAAACAGTAGCAGAGCTTTCCCTTTACTGTAACAAAACTACATGGCAGGAGAGAATTCCTGGAACCTCAGCTCAAAATTTGTTTTGATACCGTGCTGCCAAACCAAATGCTTTTCTACAGATGGCAAAGTTAGCTACATTGGGTATTTTAGAGTCAGTTTTCAAAGAAAAAATTACTTTTCCTGTGCAGCGCAGCATGGGTGTTCTGTATCTGTTTAGTACACGTAAGGAGACCAAGCACATCACAGTAGGAAAATTAAGAGCTGTGCACCAGCAATGAAGGAGCTGGGCTTTCCAAGGGAGCTGCAGAAAGCGAACAAAAATAATGCTGGTGACTCATCAGTGAGGTAGAGGCACAAAAGATTAATTGCTACCGTCAGCTCAAATTTTGAGTATTATATGAAACTCAGGTTTTGG